TCAACTCCGAGTCCCTCCCTGATGACCGAACTTCTCACCTTATCCCTAAGGGAGACACCAGCCACCCTGCGGAGAAAACCGCTTGTATCCGCGGCCGAGATGATCGGATCTGATTGAGATTAAAAGTTTTGAACTCCTGGGCCCTGAAGATGCAACACAGGCAGTATGAGAAAAATAAATAACTGTTTGAACATTAAAGAGGCAGAAAATAGAAATATGCACCTGAATAAGCAGAATATATTGTAATATAGCATACAGCCCCTTTTACTTATCTTATTAGTTCATGAATTATACAAATATGTACAAAATAATGTTTTTTACCAGATTGATGCTGCTGTTTCAGCTAAAAGATGAAAGCAGGTCAAGCAGAGATTAAAGCACTCAGTGAAGTGAGAACATTTCCCCCGCAGGCTACTACCACAGCTGCTGTTCCAACAAAGGTATGAAAAACAACAACAACAACAACAACATGTACGACTCCCAAAATGCTGTTATTCTGTCCAGCCCTCGCTCTTAACATATTGATTTAGTATGATGTCACTACATGTCCAAAAAACACCAGCCCTCCTCCTCTTCCCACCCACATGTGCCCACCAGTGAACCCTGGTATTATTCAGCACAAACTAAACCTGATAATCCTATTAGAGTCCGAACAGCCTCTGGACTTTCTCACAGCAACACGACAAACACGATTACGTTGCATTCCTCCTCAGAATGTCCTGTTCCACAATCAGAAACCTTTACACAGAAAATTACATTTAAGGTCTCCTATCATGCAAAATGCACTTTGTGATGTCTTTTATACCTAAACATGTGTCCCCGGTGTGTCAGGGAACTCACGCAGCGTCAGAAAACAAAACCCTCTCTCTTTTCCTCCGTACCCAAATCTCTAAAAACGGGGAACAACGGAGCTGATCCAGATTTGCGTCCGATATGACGTCATATCGGAAATGTGGACCCACGGCCCAATCAGAAACGTTGCTATCAGAAACAACGCCCGACTGTTTTGGACGTAATATGGTCGGTGTTTACATTAGCATCGCTAACACTCAGAGCTAACCTGTACTGGAGAGCATGTGTGTGAAGAAGCAGGAAGTAAAAAGGAACTCACCTTGTGGTATAACCGGCAAGAGAGAAAGCCTTTGAGCTCCAAACTGTTTCAGAGAGAATCCTTGATAATCCATGATAGGCGTTTCATCACGGCAGCATTTAGTTTAGACAGTATCTGCCGGTAGAATCTCCCGCATGAGCTCCGCCTCACTTTTTATCAATTTTTTTTTTAAAGCTTTATACCCAAAATCAGCACTTTTGAAACAGGAAGGGAAATAGAAGGATATGAGGCATGGCTAGAATCGGTGATCTGTTGCCTAAAAATAGCATGATAGGTGCACTTTAAGGAAAAAACTAAACACTCAAAACATTTCGTTGCAACTATTTCAACTAATCCATGATAACATTTTCTGCAATTTACCACTAATTACTCTAAGCTGTTAACATGTGGATGCCTTTTGAACAACATGCATCAACATTTTAGGTAAAGAGAAAGAAAGAAAGTGAAATGCATGGAGGATTTGAAGATGAGGCTAATATAATGCATATATTGCATTGATAGGAAACACCAGCAGATGCTTTGTTCCCTTGTTCTTGTCCTTAAATCATTAATTATCTTGTTGTGACTGTTGTAATAAGCTGCTCTGTACTGCAGGGTTTAGGACCTGTTGTTATTGAGTCACCAATTGGCAGAGTGAAATTGGAACAATATGTAGTGTTTCCTGTTGGACTTTGGGGAGACATTGGACCCTCTTAAATCCTCAAACTGAATATTTCCTGTGGATTTTGCATCAATTATGAGTTTTCCTGTTATTTTTATGAACATTTAGAACAATCTGTATTATGTTTCTTTTCTATTTTTGTTTTAACTTAAATGCTTAAAACATTTATTTTGACAAATAAGGTGGATTCTTCTGTATGCCTTTAAGTACATTTAATAAGGCAAACATTTTTAGACGGTGTGTTTTGACTATGTGTGATACGTTCATAAAGATTGTATGATAGTCAGTTTTAAATATGTAAATGGGGTAGTAACAGTGTCGGTTAAACTCCTACACAGAATTAAAAAAACACATACCTATAAATGGTAAACCCAGAGAAACTGATAATGACAGTTGTCTCTTAATTTCGTAATACCTGGATGTTTGGTGAGCATCATTTGAAAATAAGTCAATAATGATATCACTAAATGGTGGCGGGTAAGAAATGGAGGGATGAGAATGAAGGTGAATTGTACATGACTTCATGAGGAGGTTGGAAACGTAACATTATTCAGCATATTTCCTTATTCCTGTGATGTACTTTATAATGAAAATAAACATTTAAATCCCATGTTTTGTTCCGTTCTTCACCAATAGTTTATTAATGTAGATGTTTGTTATTTTGCTTCTCGTGGTGGAAGTGGTGATTTCTTTAATCATAGTATTCTAAACACATTGGTTAAAGTTTCCCTGTAGAGTTTTCTGTATTAAAAGTGTTTAAATCCATGTTTGCTTGTCCCTCTTCTGCCTGTCTTTGTTCGCTCTGCAGCACATGTGACCTTGCACACTTTGTATTCCTTTATCTGAGGAACAGGATTTCTTTCATATAAGGGTCGAGCACACACATTACAACATGAGATTTGAAGGTCTAAATTGAGTCGTGCTGCTGATATAGAGGTATAGACAGGGGTGCACATAACTTTTTTGCCCTGGTTCTCAAAGGAGCACCTGGAGATGTTGCTTGGTGCTCATCCTTAAAATGAAATAAACCGTAACTTTTGAGGGGCTCTTGACTTTATTTGCCAGACACACGGCACTGAACACACGTGCAGAGGTGAACACAGAACACACATGCAGAGGTGAACACTGAACACACATGCAGAGGTGAACACAGAACACACATGCAGAGGCGAACACTGAACACACATGCAGAGGTGAACACAAGACAACATTAGCACGACCAGTAATCCTACAAGCTGTCATCACTACCCTCCTGACTGTTCTCCTCACTGTCTTCCTCTCTGTCAGACATGGTAGCTGATGATGTAGGCCTACTTCTTCCTCTCTGGTTGAGTCTGTGATTAGCTGCTTGCATCCACAAGTCAACAGCTGGGTTTGGGTCGAAAGTCTCTGTCATCTTAGACAAGTGGATGTAATCAAATAAGTATGTGAACATAACCAATAACCTACCATAGCCAATAACAAATTAATGTAACTTATTTTATTTGTGTTGTTCATTCATATCTTATTTTACCTTAACATTTATTTATTATTTTTAAATCTCTCCAGTTTTAAAGGATATGTTTGGTTACTAACCTATAGTATACATTGGAATGATTTCAAACCTGTTTATCCCAATAATTATAAAGGAGTGCCTTGGAAATATGTGTTTACATAAATTGTGACCAAACCGTTTGAACTTAGACTAAAGTGAACTATCTAAACACTCAGAGTCTTTACCTCACTTAGCTGTAGTTATCAGCCTCTCAGTCTGACTGGAGAGGACTCTCGCTCCACATCATTGTAGAAACATCTTCTTCTTATATCCGTTAGAGCAGCTAGCACGGCACCAGATTCTAATAACAACAGCGCCGGTACCGGGCGGTGCGCCCTTCTCTCTCTCCCACGCTCACTCGCACGTTGGCTGTGAGCTGCGGGCGCCAGATAAGCCAACATCCCCCATTTTCATCACTTACAGCGCCCATCGTACAGGGCAAATGAAACGTGTAACCGGGGTGAAAAGGGTGTTACATTTACTTAATTATGAATATTGTTACATCAAGGCCGAAAATTAGGATGAACCCCAACGGTCAAAAATGCCAGCACAGCGCCTCCCCGGCTCTGGCGCCCTAGGCGAACATCTATAACGCCAGTGCTACAGGATTTGTAGGATAACTGGTCGTGCTAATTTTGTCTTGTGTTCACCTCTGCATGTGTGTTCTGTGTTCACCTCTGCATGTGTGTTCTGTGTTCACCTCTGCACGTGTGTTCAGTGCCGTGTGTCTGGCAAATAAAGTCAAGACCCCTCAAAAGTTACGGTTTATTTCATTTTAAGGATGAGCACCAAGCAACATCTCCAGGTGCTCCTTTGAGAACCAGGGCAAAAAAGTTATGTGCACCCCTGTCTATCATGCTATATTCAGACATATATTATAGGTCTCAGATATATACAATTATATTAAAAAAAATTCTATAAAGTGTTTTGCTCAAAATACCAAACAGATCATCCATTATAGCCATGCCTCATATCCCTCCGTTTCAGCCCTGTTACTAAAGTGCTGATTCTGGGTATAAAGAAAAGAGGGGGCGGAGCTTATGCGGGAGTACTCTACCACTATACAGCTAAATGCTGCCGGGATGAAACGCCATATCATGCTTTCATCATATCATTATTTCTGAAACAGTATGGAGCTCAAATGCTTTTTCTCTCTCGGGTTTACAACAAGGTGAGTTCCTTTTTTTTATTTCCTGCTTCTTTACACATACTCTCTCCAGTACAGGTTAGCTCTGAGTGTTAGCGATGCTAATGTAAACAAAGACCATATTACATCCAATACACGACGCGCATTGTTTCTGATAGGGCCGTGGGTGTAAAGCCAGCCCACATTTCAGATATTACGTCATATCGGACGCAAATCTGGATCAGCTCCGTTGTTCCCCCGTTTTTAGAGATTTGGGTACGGAGGAAAAGAGAGAGGGTTTTATTTTCTGACACTTTGTGAGTTCCCTGACACACCGGGGACACATATCAACGTATAAAAGACATCACAAAGTGCATTTTGCATGACCTTTAAAATATGTTTCAAGTTCAAACTTAGCCTTGTCGTGAGTGGTGTGTTCAAGGACCGAGCATCTGTTAGGTGATGTTGGAACACAGGTGCAGACAGCAGTGATGTTGAGTGATGGGACAGACATAGGTGGGGGGTCTGATGGTGGGGGGGGGGTGACGGCGTCTACAAAGTGACTCACTTGGCCAGCTTGGTCTCGATCTGCTGTCGGATCTCCTGCCTCTCCTGGTCGCTGCGCACCGGGAAGATGTTCCTGTCCTCAAGCTCCTGCTGGCTGGGCCGGTTCCTCAGCTTCACGGCCAGAAGCTCCTTCCTCACCCGGCGGGGGAGAGTCCCTGTGGGGGGGAGATAGGATATACTGTTACTGTACTGTATTCAATAATAAAGCTTTATATAGCACTTTTAACACATGCAGCTCAAAGCGCTTTACAAAATCACAATCATCACAAGTTAAAAACAACGAAAGAAATTCCCCTCAGATTATTTGTTAAGAACTTTAAAAGGTACACCAAGCGAAATATAACATTTGATCAGGTTAACAGACACAAGGAGGTGAAAGGTTTCTCTCTTATCTGACAGATAAGACAGAAGACAACTGAGTCGATGCAACAATATAAAATATAAAACCCCATAAAACAAAGTGAGCAAATAGGTTCAACAGAAATATAAATAAAAAGATAATAGTAATAAAAATGCCATAATTCTAATAAAGGTGAAACGATGAAGAAATAACAAAGACCAACGGGAAAATAAATATTGCTATTGAAGCGTGTTAGATTAATAAAATAAGATTAAATCCTTTAAGACCTATAAAACAAAATAAAAGGTAAATAATAAAGACTAAAAGAACATATAAAGTGGGGGGCTGCTGATAAAAAGCTAAATCTAAATGCAGTCTTTACATCATCATCTCGGACCCAAAGCATGTTCTGAACAGAGAGTATGAACTGCTACCATCTGGGGAGATTCAATAAAGTCAGACTGAAGCATCCTTTGTACATATAACACATTCACTTCTATTGGCTAGCGCTCCAACACATTGTAAGTGAAAGGCTAAGGGGCGGGACATGTCTAAGCGGTTGACCAATCACAACAGAGCCGGCCAGCTGAACAATCCCAGCAGACTGGGCTCTGGTTTCAGACAGAGGGTGAACAGAGATGCTGCAGCACAGGCAGTATGAGAACAATAAAGAGCTTTTTGAACATTAAAACATGGAGACATGTCACATATATGAACCTGAAAATGAGCAGAACAGGGAGGGGGGGGGGGCACAATAAGGTCAATACCCACTTCAGCTGAACTCGTGCTTATCAACACACAGAGGGCCTATGTACTTTCTGCTAACACCTTATTAATGAAACACATGCCTACTACTTATTCCAAGATGTTAAAGTATGAGCTTAGGGTTTTATTTGTAATTCACTTATATAATAGATTTCGCCATACTTTTGCCATATTTCCACTTAAGTTAAACATTAATTAAAAGGTCCCCTATTATACCAAACAGATAATTGCAGCATTACCCATAATCCCCTCTGCTTCAGCCCTGGTTCAAAAGTGCTGATTCTCTGTCTGTTACTTTAGATGGAAATAAGGAGCCCCTCCCCACGCCCCTCTGAGAGACATTTGGTTACAAAGAACTCAATGGTGCTCTAGGAGGAGATTCAGGTGATAAGGGGGGGGGGGGGGGGGGGGGGGGGGTTACCTTGGTTGCTGATTGGCTAATGGTTACACAAGACAAAACATCGTTATGACATCATAAAGTGGCCAAAATCTGATCAGCTCATTTTCAGACAGGTTTTTATAGAAATGGATCAAAAAGAGAGAGAATCTTTGTTCCTGAAACTTTCAGAGTCTCTTTCCACAGAGGGGACACATGCTGATGTAGAAGAGACATGAAGAAGAGGGGACACATGTTGATGTAGAAGAGACATGGAGAAGAGGGGACACATGTTGATATAGAAGAGACATGAAGAAGAGGGGACACATGTTGATGTAGAAGAGACATGAAGAAGAGGGGACACATGTTGATTGTAGAAGAGACGTGAAGAAGAGGGGACACATGTTGATGTAGAAGAGACATGAAGAAGAGGGGACACATGTTGATGTAGAAGAGACGTGAAGAAGAGGGGACACATGTTGATGTAGAAGAGACATGAAGAAGAGGGGACACATGTTGATGTAGAAGAGACATGAAGAAGAGGGGACACATGTTGATGAAGAAGAGACATGGAGAAGAGGGGACACATGTTGATGTAGAAGAGACATGAAGAAGAGGGGACACATGTTGATGAAGAAGAGACATGGAGAAGAGGGGACACATGTTGATGTAGAAGAGACATGAAGAAGAGGGGACACATGTTGATGAAGAAGAGACATGGAGAAGAGGGGACACATGTTGATGTAGAAGAGACATGAAGAAGAGGGGACACATGTTGATGTAGAAGAGACATGGAGAAGAGGGGACACATGTTGATGTAGAAGAGACATGAAGAAGAGAGGACACATGTTGATGTAGAAGAGACATGGAGAAGAGGGGACACATGTTGATGTAGAAGAGACATGAAGAAGAGGGGACACATGTTGATGTAGAAGAGACATGGAGAAGAGGGGACACATGTTGATGTAGAAGAGACATGAAGAAGAGGGGACACATGTTGATGTAGAAGAGACATGGAGAAGAGGGGACACATGTTGATGTAGAAGAGACATGAAGAAGAGGGGACACATGTTGATGTAGAAGAGACATGAAGAAGAGGGGACACATGTTGATGTAGAAGAGACATGAAGAAGAGGGGACACATGTTGATGTAGAAGAGACATGAAGAAGAGGGGACACATGTTGATGTAGAAGAGACATGAAGAAGAGGGGGACACATGTTGATGTAGAAGAGACATGAAGAAGAGGAGACACATGTTGATGTAGAAGAGACATGAAGAAGAGGAGACACATGTTGATGTAGAAGAGACATGAAGAAGAGGAGACACATGTTGATGTAGAAGAGACATGAAGAAGTGGATTTTGCATAATAGGTGACCTTTAAAGTCCAGTCTCTATTGTCTCACTGCTCACTACATATTTCTCTTTCTCTGCAGTCAGAGCTGACCTGTCAATCATTACTGCAGCCTGCTGCTTTTTAGATTCCCCTCCAGGTTCACAGACATGTAAACTGCAGACGCTGTGACCCACATGAGGTCAGAGCGGAGTAGACGAGGCGACTGAAACCCAACACCTGTGAGTCTGCTGCTGCTCTTCATGGCTGTAAACCTCCCTGACTGTAAACAAACATCCGCAGATTCATTATCCACTGACAGGCCGACCAGAATCTGTACTTTAGCAGCAGTTATTACATGGCTGAGTGGAATATATTTAATTCTGATTGGACAATTTGGACATTCCAGAGGACTGTAAATGTTTGGAAACATGAAGTCTAAACTGTCACAAGTAAAGAAACGAAAAACAGTGCAAGGGAACAGCAGAAGAAGACAGACATAAAGTAAACACTAACGGGAACAGCAGAAGAAGACAGACATGAAGTAAACACTAAAGGGAACAGCAGAAGAAGACAGACAGGAAGTAAACACTAACGGGAACAGCAGAAGAAGACAGACAGGAAGTAAACACTAACGGGAACAGCAGAAGAAGACAGACAGGAAGTAAACACTAACGGGAACAGCAGAAGAAGACAGACAGGAAGTAAACACTAACGGGAACAGCAGAAGAAGACAGACAGGAAGTATACACTAAAGGGAACAACAGAATAAGACAGAAAGGAAGTAAACACTAACGGGAACAGCAGAAGAAGACAGACAGGAAGTAAACACTAACGGGAACAGCAGAAGAAGACAGACAGGAAGTAAACACCAACAGGAACAGCAGAAGAAGACAGACAGGAAGTAAACACTAAAGGGAACAGCAGAAGAAGACAGACAGGAAGTAAACACTAACGGGAACAGCAGAAGAAGACAGACATGAAGTAAACACTAAAGGGAACAGCAGAAGAAGACAGACAGGAAGTAAACACTAACGGGAACAGCAGAAGAAGACAGACAGGAAGTAAACACTAACGGGAACAGCAGAAGAAGACAGACAGGAAGTAAACACTAATGGGAACAGCAGAAGAAGACAGACAGGAAGTAAACACTAAAGGGAACAGCAGAAGAAGACAGACATGAAGTAAACACTAAAGGGAACAGCAGAAGAAGACAGACAGGAAGTAAACACTAACGGGAACAGCAGAAGAAGACAGACAGGAAGTAAACACTAACGGGAACAGCAGAAGAAGACAGACAGGAAGTAAACACTAACGGGAACAGCAGAAGAAGACAGACAGGAAGTAAACACTAAAGGGAGCAGCAGAAGAAGACAGACAGGAAGTAAACACTAAACGGAACAGCAGAAGAAGACAGACAGGAAGTAAACACTAAAGGGAACAGCAGAAGAAGACAGACAGGAAGTAAACACTAAAGGGAACATCAGAAGAAGACAGACAGGAAGTAAACACTAACGTGAACAGCAGAAGAAGACAGACATGAAGTAAACACTAAAGGGAACAGCAGAAGAAGACAGACAGGAAGTAAACACTAACGGGAACAGCAGAAGAAGACAGACAGGAAGTATACACTAAAGGGAACAACAGAAGAAGACAGAAAGGAAGTAAACACTAACGGGAACAGCAGAAGAAGACAGACAGGAAGTAAACACTGAAGGGAACAGCAGAAGAAGACAGACAGGAAGTAAACAATAACGGGAACAGCAGAAGAAGACAGACAGGAAGTAAACACTAAAGGGAGCAGCATAAGAAGACAGACGGGAAGTAAACACTAAAGGGAGCAGCAGAAGAATAGCCAGACAGGAAGTAACACTAAAGGGAGCAGCCATAAGAAGACAGACAGGAAGTAAACACTAAAGAGAGAACAGCAGAAGAAGACAGACAGGAAGTAAACACTAACGGGAACAGCAAGAAGAAAGACAGACAGGAAGTATACACTAAAGGGAACAGCAGAAGAAAGACAGACAGGAAGTAAACACTAACGGAACAGCAGAAGAAGACAGACAGGAAGTAAACACTAACGGGAACAGCAGAAGAAGACAGACAGGAAGTAAACACTAACGGGAACAGCTGAAGAAGACAGACAGGAAGTAAACACTAACGGGAACAGCATAAGAAGACAGACAGGAAGTAAACACTAAAGGGAACAGCATAAGAAGACAGACAGGAAGTAAACACTAACGGGAACAGCAGAAGAAGACAGGACAGGAAGTAAACACTAACGGGAACAGCAGAGAGAAGACAGACAGGAAGTAAACACACAAGGAACAGCAGAAGAAGACAGACAGGAAGTAAACACTAAAGGGAACAGCAGAAGAAGACAGACAAGAAGTAAACAATAACTGGAACAGCAGAAGAAGTCAGACAGACAGGAAGTAAACACTAACGGGAAACAGCAGAAGAAGACAGACAGGAAGTAAACACTAAAGGGGAACAGCATAAGAAGACAGACAGGAAGTAAACACTAACGGGAACAGCAGAAGAAGACAGACAGGAAGTAAACACTAACGGGAACAGCAGAAGAAGACAGACAGGAAGTAAACACCAACAGGAACAGCAGAAGAAGACAGACAGGAAGTAAACACTAAAGGGAACAGCAGAAGAAGACAGACAGGAAGTAAACACTAACGGGAACAGCAGAAGAAGACAGACAGGAAGTAAACACTAACGGGAACAGCAGAAGAAGACAGACAGGAAGTAAACACTAATGGTAACAGCAGAAGAAGACAGACAGGAAGTAAACACTAACGGGAACAGCAGAAGAAGACAGACAGGAAGTAAACACTAACGGGAACAGCAGAAGAAGACAGACAGGAAGTAAACACTAAAGGGAGCAGCAGAAGAAGACAGACAGGAAGTAAACACTAAACGGGAACAGCAGAAGAAGACAGACAGGAAGTAAACACTAAAGGGAACAGCAGAAGAAGACAGACAGGAAGTAAACACTAAAGGGAACATCAGAAGAAGACAGACAGGAAGTAAACACTAACGTGAACAGCAGAAGAAGACAGACATGAAGTAAACACTAAAGGGAACAGCAGAAGAAGACAGACAGGAAGTAAACACTAACGGGAACAGCAGAAGAAGACAGACAGGAAGTATACACTAAAGGGAACAACAGAAGAAGACAGAAAGGAAGTAAACACTAACGGGAACAGCAGAAGAAGACAGACAGGAAGTAAACACTAACGGGAACAGCAGAAGAAGACAGACAGGAAGTAAACACTAACGGGAACAGCAGAAGAAGACAGACAGGAAGTAAACACTAAAGGGAGCAGCATAAGAAGACAGACGGGAAGTAAACACTAAAGGGAGCAGCAGAAGAAGACAGACAGGAAGTAAACACTAAAGGGAGCAGCATAAGAAGACAGACAGGAAGTAAACACTAAAGAGAACAGCAGAAGAAGACAGACAGGAAGTAAACACTAACGGGAACAGCAGAAGAAGACAGACAGGAAGTATACACTAAAGGGAACAGCAGAAGAAGACAGACAGGAAGTAAACACTAACGGGAACAGCAGAAGAAGACAGACAGGAAATAAACACTAACGGGAACAGCAGAATAAGACAGACAGGAAGTAAACACTAACGGGAACAGCAGAAGAAGACAGACAGGAAGTAAACACTAACGGGAACAGCTGAAGAAGACAGACAGGAAGTAAACACTAACGGGAACAGCATAAGAAGACAGACAGGAAGTAAACACTAAAGGGAACAGCAGAAGAAGACAGACAGGAAGTAAACACTAACGGGAACAGCAGAAGAAGACAGACAGGAAGTAAACACCAACAGGAACAGCAGAAGAAGACAGACAGGAAGTAAACACTAAAGGGAACAGCAGAAGAAGACAGACAGGAAGTAAACACTAACGGGAACAGCAGAAGAAGACAGACAGGAAGTAAACACTAACGGGAACAGCAGAAGAAGACAGACAGGAAGTAAACACTAAAGGGAACAGCATAAGAAGACAGACAGGAAGTAAACACTAACGGGAACAGCAGAAGAAGACAGACAGGAAGTAAACACTAACGGGAACAGCAGAAGAAGACAGACAGGAAGTAAACACAACAGGAACAGCAGAAGAAGAAGACAGACAGGAAGTAAACACTAAAGGGAACAGCAGAAGAAGACAGACAGGAAGTAAACACTAACGGGAACAGCAGAAGAAGACAGACAGGAAGTAAACACTAACGGGAACAGCAGAAGAAGACAGACAGGAAGTAAACACTAACGGTAACAGCAGAAGAAGACAGACAGGAAGTAAACACTAACGGGAACAGCAGAAGAAGACAGACAGGAAGTAAACACTAACGGGAACAGCAGAAGAAGACAGACAGGAAGTAAACACTAACGGTAACAACAGAAGAAGACAGACAGGAAGTAAACACTAACGGGAACAGCAGAAGAAGACAGACAGGAAGTAAACACTAAAGGGAATAGCAGAAGAAGACAGACAGGAAGTAAACACTAACGGGAACAGCAGAAGAAGACAGACAGGAAGTAAACACTAAAGGGAACACAGTATGGGCTCTGCAGTGTTTAAAGACTGGTTAATGGTAAAGAAAATGTGAACAGACTTGGACATTAACCCTTTGGAGTCGACCGTCACGCCGGCGTGATCAGATCACATGATCTGTTCAAGCCGGTGCCGCATAAAAACAACAGTCCGGACAACATTGCCGTGTGTTTGTCAAAAGTACTGGCTTGAAACTATATCCCAGTCTTTGTTTCATGCAAAAAGACCCAGTAAACACGGAGATACGATGATATAAAGTTAATACATTTCAAAAGTATGAAAAATGGAAGCACATATTTGAATATCTTCGCCGTATTTGATCATTTTACGAAACGGAAAATACTGGAAACTGTAGATTCTGCTCAACAGGATGTATTTACCAGGGGGGGGTGAGGTAATCAGGTAAACGGAGTGATACGAAGCGAGACGAAAAGAGACGAAGAGGGACGGCGGGAACCGAAGAGGGACGGCGGGAACCGAAGAGAGACGGCGGGAAATGGAGAGAGACGAGGATATACGAAGACAGGCGTCGGGAGACGAAGAGAGACGGCGGGAGACTGCGATTGAAGTAAAGTGACAGACAAACATTGAGGATTTAGATATAGTTAGATAGATTTAGAGTTTTGAAGATTCAACTATGATGAAGAGAACTCTGAACGTGTGTCAAGCTTTAAGCTTGTTTTTTGACATGGAGGAGGAGGAGCCTGTGATGTTGCCCTCTGTGTCGTAGTTGACAGAAACCGCTATGAAGCGTGGCACAGAGAAAGACAGAAAAAACTGATTTTTGTACATAATGTGTATATATATATATTTGTATTATATTTATAATAACACTTTTACATATCAGAATGAAATCCCTTGTACATTATTTAAGCTTTTAAATGTTTTGTTGTGCCTACTGTGTCACTGTTGACAGAACTTGAGAAATTAGGAAAAAAAGCCTACGGATACACCTGTTATTTGTTCATAACATTTGTATATAGGTTCATGCTACCTCAATCAAACTTTCACATTATCATAGTGACATCCCATGTATATATTTCCAGCTTTTAAATGGTTTCGTTGTGTATGTTTGTGTTACCTATATGAAAAATAATATCATTTTCAAAATCTGTTTTTACGTTTTTTTGTGATTTTGGGTCCAAAATGTTCATATAGTATCTCAAAATGAAATAAATAACTATCAGGTTATATAGGTGAGGTTGTCCTTAAAAAGAAGATACCAAACATTGACATGCCAAACATTTCTTAATGGGGTTTAGTAAGACAAATCAAAAGTATGTGAAAACGGCCAAATTAGCCCAGGACTCCAAAGGGTTAACAGAAAACCTCGATAAATTCTGCCGTCAAGTTACGTTGCTGTCGTTGCAGTTTAGCCAGTGGAATTTACAACTTCTTCTCAGCAGTAGCAATACGATCAGTTTAAATCCAGGATGAAGACTTTTATTTTTGCCGCTGCTTTCAATTTAACTATCCATATCTTACACTGCAACTATTATTCATGTATTTTTATTTTATTATCTTTGCTCTTTAATGACTGTTTTTAAATGCCATTTTCTTAAAGTCTTTCATTTTTGTAAAGCACTTTGAATTGCCTTGTGTTGAAAGGTGCTATATAAATGAACTTGCCTTGCCTAAATCAATAAAATCACATTAAATCCATATTGTACATGGTGTTAGAGCGAGTACAGCAGCCCTACCGGAGATGACGGAGTCGTTCCAGCTGTCCTGGTCGTTCAGGTATTCATCGAGACGCCAGTTCTCCTTGTTCTCGTCCGACTCTTTCTTCCCGTCCGTCTCTCGGTTCGATTCCCGCTCCGTGCTGGACTGTCCGGGACAGACGGCCGTCCATCCGGCGCTTCAGAGACGAGCGAGAGTCCTTCGTCTGGAAACTGAGGTCAAACATCACAAGGACAAGTCTGTAAGTTATAGCTTTATGACACCATGGCCAGCGGGAAGTCTCTATTCTGATTGGCTGGAAGGTGTGGATTCACTTTAAGTATCTATAACCTACTGTATACCCAGGCACCTGTGATGTACCGGTGTGTTTGTAGGCTGTCCTCGACTAAATCACAATACGTTATTATACCGGGTGGAAATTATGTTTTTGGAATGTTGCACCATTTCAGAATAAATAAA